GTCTGCCTTCAGCCTCGGCCTCAGCCTCAGCCTGCCTCAGCCTCAGCCTGCATCAGCCTCAGCCTCAGCCTCAGCCTGCCTCAGCATCAGCCTGCCTTCAGCCTCAGCCTGCCTCAGCCTCAGCCTCAGCCTGCTTCAGCCTCAGCCTCAGTCTGCCTTCAGCCTCGGCCTCAGCCTCAGCCTGCCTCAGCCTCAGCCTGCATCAGCCTCAGCCTCAGCCTCAGCCTGCCTCAGCATCAGCCTGCCTCAGCCTCAGCCTCAGCCTGCCTCAGCCTCAGCCTCAGCCTGCTTCAGCCTCAGCCTCAGTCTGTCTTCAGCCTCGGCCTCAGCCTCAGCCTGCCTCAGCCTCAGCCTGCATCAGCCTCAGCCTCAGCCTCAGCCTGCCTCAGCATCAGCCTGCCTCAGCCTCAGCCTCAGCCTGCCTCAGCCTCAGCCTCAGCCTGCTTCAGCCTCAGCCTCAGTCTGCCTTCAGCCTCGGCCTCAGCCTCAGCCTGCCTCAGCCTCAGCCTGCATCAGCCTCAGCCTCAGCCTCAGCCTGCCTCAGCATCAGCCTCAGCCTCAGCCTCAGCCTGCCTCAGCCTCAGCCTCAGCCTGCTTCAGCCTCAGCCTCAGTCTGCCTTCAGCCTGCCTCAGCCTCAGCCTGCCTCAGCCTCAGCCTCAGCCTGCCTCAGCATTCAAAATGTGGCCCGGGAATGGAGTTCTGGGACTCGAAGAACACGAAGTGGCCTGCAATTGGATCTGTGCATTCAAAATCATGCCCAGGAATAGAGTTCTGGGAACTCGAAGACCACGAAGTGGCCTACAGTTGGCTCCGGGCATTCAAAATCATGTTTAGGAATGGAGTTCTGGGAAGTCGAAGAGCACGAAGTGGCCTACAGTTGGCTCCGGGCATCCAAAATGTCGCCCGGGAATGGAGATCTGGGAACTCGAAGACCACGAAGTGGCCTACAGTTGGCTCCGAGCAGCCAAAATGTGGCCCGGGAATGGAATTCTGGGAAGTCGAAGAGCACGAAGTGGCCTACAGTTGGCTCCGGGCATCCAAAATGTACGCCGGGAATGGAGTTTTAGCAGCGCCAAGAGCGATTTTGCGAGGATGTCCCAGGCGATTTGGGCTTCGACGGCAGCCGCCCCGGGTCCCGCCCGGACCCCCCTGTGGAGTCATCTGCTGTTCTTTTTTGACACCACTAGAAACCTATCAGTCTTCGCTGTTAGGTAAAAACACCCCAGACGACGCACGCCCTAAAGGGCTGGTGGGATTCCCTGCTGCACCCCGAGACGTGTCAGTAGGGTGGGCCAGGCGGTTTGCTTGAGACTTCTTCACCACTTGCGATCCTGAAGCTTAAGCGCTGCAGCACTTCCACGGATGTAGGGTGTGCCGTTTTCAACATGTAGTTCTCGCTGTAGCGCCGCGCACATTTGCTTTTGAACTTTCGAACGTTTCACGGATGTGGGGCGGATGGTATCCAAACTGTGCCTTTCGTTTTCGCGCCGCGCGCATTCGCTTTTCACATTTGCAAGAGTTTCAAGGACGGAGGGCGGTTCCTTTTCGACATGTGGCTCTCGCCTTCGCGCCGCGCGCATTCGTTTCAAACAATTAGAGCAACTTCCCGGGAATGGTGTTCTGGCCCGATTTCGAATTGTCACGGCGCGACAATCACGTTGATTCGCGGTGTTGAAGTCCCAGGAACGGTGTGCGCTGGCACGATTCAGGTTCGTTAGGCCACAACCGTAATTTTGATGCTCGGCGTTGCACGACCCAGACGGTTGTCTTTCAACGGGGCACCTCCCACAGTGAAAATAGGTTCTTTTAGGGACTTATTAAGAGGGAATTTGGATGGAGGGTTTATTTCAACATCGCTGATGCGTCTGGGGTGTGCGCTGGTCATCCTCTCCCTCCTCCTCCCCCTCCTCCCCCTCCTCCTCCTCCTCCTCCTCCTCCTCCTCCTCTTCGTCCCTTTTTTTCCATCGGTCGAGAGCTCGGGGCTGCGTCGCCTGCAGTCGTGGCGCCCCCTCCTCGCCTCCTCCGCCCTCTGCCTCCGCCTTCCCTCTCTTCCTCCTCCCCCTCCCTCCCCCTCGTCCTCTCCTCCTCGTCCTCCCCCTCCTCTTCCTCCTCCTCCTCCTCCCTCCTCCTTCTCCTCCTCCTCCTCATCATCATTATCATTCATCATATCATCATATCATCATCATCATCAACCATCACCATCACCATCACCATCATCATCATCATCATCATCATCATCATCATCATCATCATCATCATCATCATCATCATCATCATCATTATCATTGTCATTATCATTATCATTTTCATCATCATCATCATCATCATTATCATTGTCATTATCATTATCATTATCATTACCATTATCAGTATCATTATCATGATCATTATCATTATCATTATCATTATCATTATCATTATCATTATCACGATCATTACCATAATCATAATCATACTCATTATCATTTTCATTATCATTATCATTATCATTATCAGTATCATTATCATTATCATTATCATTACCATTATCATTATCATTATCATTATCATCAACATTATCATTATCATTAGCACTATCGTTATCATTATCATTGTCATTATCATTATCATTAGCATTCTCATTATCATTATCATTATCCGTATCATTATCATTACCATTATCATTATCATTACCATCAGCATCATCATCATCATCATCATCATCATCATCATCATATCGGCGGGTAGCCAGCCTCAGTGGCAACCCGCCTGGATATCTCTTCCTTCGACTTCGCTACCACATTGTGGTTACCAGTGAATTTGAGCAAACTCCTTCTTATCCTCCTCCTTCTCCTCCTCCTCTTCCTCCACCTCCTCCTCCTCCTCCTCCTCCTCCTCCTCCTCCCCCTCCTCCCCCTCCTCCCAGGCATCGGTCGTCGTGTTTTGAGTTGGTCTGTCTTTTCACAACGTGGCTCCTCAGAGGTCTGGACTCCTTCCTGCCTTCCTGGGGACCGTCTTTTCATCCTGAGCAGCTTTTTACGGTCCTGGTCCTTGGGCCCATTGAGGGCCACCGGCTACGAGGATGTCTGGGTTCCCCCTTTCCCTTGTTCTCCCGTTGTTACCGCTTCGGTCAGGACGGGGCTTTGCTAATTGCGCCCGCCCGCGTCGGTAGGCTGCGGAGCCACGTGGCCCAGCCGGAGACCCACGCGAGGGCGAAGAGGCCACCCCACCTTGCGGCCCCCGACCGCCCCGCGGCTCAAGCCAAGCGGGCTCCTTCTGTTCCTCCATCTCCTCCCATCTTCTCGCAACTGCTGTGGGTGATCTGCGTGCTCGAGACCTCTTCTCAGCACCAATGGGGCGACACTTGCATCCAGAGTAGGCTGATGCTGTCCGCCAATCAAGAGTCTTCACTCTGGGGGCGCTGGGAGCCTTGTGGCGCCTCAGGAAGCGGGTCCTCCTTCTCGTCCCTCGCGCTTCCCTCCTCCTTCCCAGACATCAAGCGTTTTGAAAACATAAGGCATAGTTGTTTCCGCAGTTTTCGGCATTTGGTCGCCGTTCTGGGGCTCCAGGACCGTCAAACCACGACGTGGAGGATCTAGGATGAAAGCTGGCCCTGGGGAGACGGTCAGGACTTCCAGGGACCCCGTGTTAAGGAGAAGGAGGAGGAGGAGGAGGAGGAGGAGGAGAAGGAGGAGCAGGAGGAGGAGGAGGAGAGGAGGAATGGGATGGATCAGAATCGACATGCTCGTCATCAGAGTAATACGAATACTCATACTACTATTTCGAACACTGATAGCGCTACGCATGGTAATTGTATTCGTAATGATCAGATGAGTGATTGGACGACTAGTCTGATCGTACAGCTAAGCATGAACCTCACGTTGATGATCACATGATTGCGGTGGATCATCATCATAAGACGACCTTCAACTCGTTGTGGACCGCCGACTCTGCAAGGCGCCCCTCGTGCCGCGCTCCCCCCCGGCCCGCCCCGCCGCGGTCCTTCGGGCGCATCCTTTGCCGCAGATGGCGGCGTTCGGCACTCGGGCAGCAGAAAAAGTAGCGCACGCCCATGCCAGCCACGGGAGGAGGTACGAGGAAGGATGAAGAGGATGATCATGATGATGATGATGATGATGATGATGATTATGATGATGATGACGATGCTGATGATGATGATGATGATGATGATGATGATGGTGGTGGTGGTGGTGGTGATGATGATGATGATGATGATGATGATGCTGATGATGATGATCATGATGATGATGATGATGATGATGATGATGATGATGATGATGATGATGATGATGATGATGATGATGATGATGATGATGATGATGATGATGATGATGATGATGATGATGATGATGATGATGATGATGATGATGATGATGATGAGGAGGAGGAGGAGGAGGAGGAGGAGGAGGAAGAGGTTGAGCAGGAGGAGGAGGAGGAAGAGGGGGATCAGGAGGAGGAGGAGCAGGAGGAGGACGAGGAGGACGAGGAGGAGGAGGAGGAGGAGGGGGAGGAGGAGGAGGAGGAGGAGGGAGGAGGGAGTCCAGGAGGGGGAGGAAGTGGAGGAGGAAGAGAAAGGAAGATATCGAGGGATGGTGGTGATGGTGTTGGTGATGATCATGATGTTTCCGATTACTGATTCAGATTATGATTCTGATGACGAGATGGTAGCTGTGAGAAGAGAAGCAAGAAGGAGAGGGAGCAATTTGGAGCAGGGGGATAAAGGATACATTGGTTGGTTTCAGGAGGCTCTTGGGGCTCAGTGGGGGCTCTGGGAGTTCCTCATTCTCCTCTCCAGACATCCGACGCCGTGTCTTTTTCGCAGCGTGGTTCCCCGAAGGTTTGGATCCCTTCCCTGGGACGGGTTTTTCAGCCCGAACCGTTTTCTGACGATCACGGAGCGCGGCACGGCCCCCCACGAGGCCGAAAAGAGCCAGCATCGATCCGTCGTATTTTTTGTCGTAGGTCGGGTCCCTGGCGGCCGTTTGGGACGCTGCGGGCACAAACCTCTTGGCGAGGCGCAGGTGCGAGCATCCCGGGGCTGGAGGGCCTCCGCGAAGCGAAGCAGCCGTCCGAGAATCTCGAAGAAGAGTTCCCAGGGCCTGCGGCAATGCCCGAAAGCGTTGAACCAGGAAGTCAGCCCCCCCTCCGGGGGTTTCCTGCGGGCATGCCCGTCCTGCCCCCTTAGGCATGGTGGCCACGTGGCTGCTGGCGGCAGCCCTGCTGCCCGCGGCGCGTGCGCAGATCAACGTCATGGCGCCGAGCTCGCTCGCGGCGCAGTTCCCTGGAGGAGCTTGTCCTCCTCCTCCTCCTCCTCCTCCTTCTCGATGATCCTCCTCCTTCTCCTCCTCTTCCTCCTCCTCCTCCTCCTCCTCCTCCTCGATGGTAAACTTTGATATGTTGCCTCCTTGATGATCCTCCACCTCATCCTTCTCCTCCTGCTCCTCTTCTGACTTCTCTCCCAGACCCGGGCGTTTTTTTGTGTCTTGTTTTGTTTTACCGCGCGGTTCCCAAGACTTCTTGACCCATTCTCGGGGACCAGTTTTTCACCCGAGTAGTTCTTTTGACAGTCCTGGTCCTGCAAGGACGCCCGTCGTGCTGAAGGTGGCCGAACATTTTCTGCAGTGCTTTTTCTCACGACGCGAGGAGGTGTGTTTTGCGGGCCATTCATTTCAGGAGAGCTCCCCTGGGCTGGAGGACCTCCGCGAACAGAAGAGCACGTCAGAGACCCTCGACGAAGACTTCCTAAACCTCCGAATATTTCCGACAGCATGGAACGAGGAGGACTTCCACAAACAGAATGCACCCTCACAAAGACCTAGACGCGGATCCTCGTTCCTCGATCCTCCCGCGCCAGGAAGAATCATGGGCTCCACCACCACGATCGGCGCCCCCTTCTACGGAGAACGCGTGCTGGGGCAGCTCGTATACGGTCGCTCTAGCAGCGGTGGGTAGGGGGCGGGGCGCCAGCGGGAGCATGGCCAGAGGAGGAGGAGGAGGAGGAGGAGGAGGAGGAGGGAGGAGGAGGAGGAGGAGGAGGAGGAGGAGGAGGAGGAGGAGGAGGAGGAGGAGGAGGAGGAGGAGGAGGAGGAGGAGGAGGGGGGGGACTGCAGCAGCAGCACCAGCAGCAGCAGCAGCCGCAGCCTCAGGGGGAGGCTCGGTTCACCTCTTGCACGGGATGTGGAGCGGCGGCAGAAGCGGCAGAGCTACCCGGACGTCGGGAGCCGCGCTTCTCTTGCACGGCGCGGCTCTCCCGAGGTCGGGGCTCGTCGTTTTTGAGACCAGCTCTTGATCCCTAGTCGTTTTTGACGGTCCTGTGGCCCGGCAGGGGGCCGCTGGAGGCCGCGACCGGCCAAACGATTTGGTCGGTTTGCGCCTCGCGCCCCTGCCCCGTCGGGGTCCAACTCTTCGCTGTCGCGTCGCCTCCATCCCCCCTGTGGCTCCCTGTCCCGTCTGCTCTGGGTCAGTCCGTCGACGCAGCTCGGGAGTGCGCTCCCCGCCCGAGGCCCAGGTCGAGTCCGAATCCGTAGCCTCGTCCTCTCTCCCCCTTCTTCACCGCTTCCCCCTCCCCCTCTCCTGCCTCTCTCGTACCTCTCTTCCTTTGGATCTCGTCATCGTCGTCGTCATCATCCTTCCCCTCCCGCTCCTCCTCCCCCCCCGTCCCCCTGCTCTCCCTGCTCCCGCCCTCCTCTCCCTCCCCTCTCCGATTCCGATGGACGACGACGACGGCGACCGACGACCGACGACTCACGACAGACGGCGGCGGCGATGACCGCGGATCGACGACGACGGCGACCACGACGACCAAAGACGACCGCGGCCGCGGGCAGGCTCGGCCCCGCACTGCACCGCGGAGGACTACGAGCTGCCGCCGCCCATGGAGGTGGATAGCACGAGGTACCAGGCGACGACTGGGGGTGCGAGGAGTGACCCTTCGCGAGGTCTTCGCACGTTTTCGTCGCTTCCCGGAGGTTTGCCTGTCTCGGTTTGCGTTCCAGCAGCTGCGCCTCGCCGCGAGGGTTCTGGGGGTGCCTGGATCTTCCCGAACGGCCGCCAGAGACCCGAGTCATGATCCGAAAAGCAGTTCTTCCCCTCTCTCCCTTCTCCTCCACAGCTCCCTTCTCCGCATTCCTCTCATCAGCATCATTATCATCCTCATTCGCCTCCTCCTCCTCCTGCTCCTCCCCCCTCCGCTTCTCCCTTCCATCTCTCTTGGCTTTCATTTCACCAGCCGCTTTCTGTCAGCGCCTTGGCCTCTTCTTTCTCCTTGTCCTGGCAGCACCTGACTTGAAACCTCATCCTCTTCCTCCCCTCACTCCTCCCTCTCCACCTGCTTCTCACCCCGGCCTCTACCGCCTCATCCTCTTCCCCCTTTTCTCCTCTTGTCCTCCTTCCACATCATGTTTTTCAACCGCCTCCCCCCTGACAACAATTTGATTGAAACATCCTCCTAATCCTCTTCCCCTTCTCCTGCTCCTCCTGCTCCACCTTGTCCTGCTCGTCCTGCTCCCATGCTTCTCTTCCCCTCCTCCTCCTACTCCTTCTTCTCCTCCTCCCTTTTCTCCTCTTCCCCTCATCCACCTTCTCATCCTCATCCTCATCCTTCTCCTCACCCGTCTCCTCCCTCTCCTGCATCTCTCCTCTCTCCTGTCTTTTCTTATTCTTGCACTTCATTCCAACCATCTCCTCCTGAGATCGCATTGGTTGAAACATCCTGCATCTCCTTCTACTCGTTCCCTTCTTCCTCCTCCTCCTCCTCATCCTCCTCTTCCTCCTCCTCATCCTCCTCATCCTCCACCTCCTGCTTCCCCCCGCCCCCCTCATCCTCCTATCCCGCACGCGCCTCCTCGTTCTGCTCCTGCTCCCTCCCTTTCCCTTCCCCTCCTTCTCTGCATCCGCTTCTCCTCATCCTCTTCCTCATGCTCGTCACCCTTCTCTTCCTCATCATCCCAATCTCAATCCGCCTTCTACTGATCAATCCTCTCCCCTCGCTCCTCTCTTGTCTTTATCTCGCTTTCCATTTCAGCTGCCTCCTCACACAGCCTTGGTCAAAGTTCTCCACTCCCCCTTCACATTATTTTTCCTCTTCCTCTTCCTCTTCTTCTTCTTCTTCTTCTTCTTCCACTTCTTCTTCTTCTGATTCTTCCTCTTATTCTTATCATTATTCCTCTTCTTCTCCTCCTCCTCTCCTCCTCCTTCCCGTTCCTCTTCCTCATCATGCTCGTTATGCTCATCCTCTTCCTCAGCATCCTCGTCCCCCTCAAACATGTGTCGACCCACCTGCTGTCAGCAGGACGACAACTGCAAACGTTTCTACGTCTCTAGGCCTTCCAGATGGGTTCAGAGTAGATGAGGTCGGAGGGTCGCGCCGTATCGCCGATGCATCGCTTTGGCGGGGAAACCCGTCCCAAGCGAACCCTGGACTTTCTGGTCACTTGGCATTGCTCGGACGCGTGCTTTTTCTTCGGCGAGGACCACTGAGGATCATCTTCAAGAGTCAACGTGCGAAATTGAAGCACACACGGGAAACGGGCGTCCGAGCGACGGCAAGGTCAGAGGGCCTCCTGCCAGGAGTCGGCGGACCACCTCTCCGGGCGTGGTGGCTCCCCCCGTGGGCCCGCCCCGCGCGCGCGGGCCTAGCGCGCCTCAGGGTGAGAAGGAGGTTCGCCTGATCAACATCGCGGTCGTGATGCGCGGAGGCCGCGGGCATCCGAAGCGTCCTCCTTCTCCTCCTCCTGCCCCTGCTCCCCCTGCTCCCCCTGCTCCCTCTCCTCCCACTCCCCCTCCCGCTCCCGTCATCCTCCTCCTCCTCCTTCTCTTCCTCCTCTTCTTCCCCCTCCCCCTTCCTCCTCCTCCTCCTCCTTCTCCTCCTCCTCCTCCTCCTCCTCCGTCTCCTACTTTTTTTTCGTGCTCCCGCTTGCGCTGCCTTGGTGGCTGTCACCCGCGCGATTGTCGCTGCTTTCGTAGGCTCTGGGGAAGTTAATCAGAGGGGTGTCTTCCGCACATCCAGACGAGACTTCTCCTCACCTCGCGGCTCCACACCCAAGGCGTGTTGGATATTCATATTTTCGGGCCTCAGGGGACCCAGACATATCCGTATCCACCGCCTCTTGGTGTCCTGAGGCATCGGTTCCCCAGGTGGTGGATGTGCATAAGGCCCGGCCTCGTAGAAGGGGCGTCTCCTGACCTCCCGCGTTTTCGGCAATATTTGTTTTTCTTTCTCGAGGATCGAGCTTCGATGATCGCCATGAAGGAAAGGGGGTCTTGAGGGACACGGATCCTGAAGGTATGTGGCCCTTTTCGGTGTCCTGGGGCCTTCCACGGGCTCCGCGACTATCAAAACGATGATCTTTTTTTGGTTTTCATCCTGGGCCGTCCTCTCGATGAGAGCCCAGAGTGAGCGGGCCTCAAGAGGCCCCATTGCCATGCAAGTCCTGAAGCGGTGCGTTTTGTTTGCCCTCCGCCTCCTCCTCCTCGCCTCGGAGCTTTCACAGCTCCGCTGACCTTTTCGTGTACGGAACAACTCACGACGCTCTCTCTTGGTTTGTTTGATCCTTTCGTTTCCTCCTTTTTGTGATCATTTTTGCTGAATTTTCATTTCCGAAGAAAGATTCGTGTTGATCCCTCCCTCTGGTACCCAATGTGTTTTTCAATGGTAGTGCCCCTCGCAGGGCTCGCACATATTTTTACGAAGGGAAGTCTTGGGCCTCAGACTGCGCCCCTGGGCCCCAAATTACAATAACCACGACTCCCGCCTGATTTTTCCTCATAGTTCGTTCAAAATCGCGCTCTCACGCTGTTTTTTTCCGCCACAATATATCCAGGAATCACGCTCTCGCGTGGGACTTCCATTCAATTAATTGAGACGCCGCACCCTCGACACTCAGTAATTACGCTTTCGCTCGAGAGTTCCTCACGATTTACTTAAGAATCGCGCTATCGCTCGAGACTTCTTTGCGATTCATCTTCAGCGACCCGTCCGCTCGACAGGGCCGTCTGGGCCCGCCCGCCCGACCTGCCCGTTAGGGTCCGCCCGCCCGACCCACCCGTCTGGTTCTGCCGTTGGTTTTCCTGCTCCTAATTCCCCTCCTGCTAATCTCTTTCGTGCTCCATCCTTCTCCATTCGCTTTGTCCCTTCCCTCCTCCCTCCCTTCCCCTGCTTTAGGGGCTTCGCCAGCTACACGTGGCAGGTAAGGAGGATATGCCCGTAAGGGGGTACGATCGAAGACGAAGTGGGCGGGCACCGAGGGTTTGGGATACATGTGCTGAATGGCTCGCGAGCAGATAAGAGCGAGCAGTCTTGAAATGATTGTCGGTTTTTTGACACAGAAATTATTGTTGATCCACACTGCCCGGTAACCAGTCTTCCAATCAACATTCAGATTTTTTTTCCAATCAGAATCCCCGTGCCGGGGCTCACTCCTTGTTTTACAAGGGAACGTCTTGCGCCTCAGATTGGCTTGTTGGCCCCCGAGTTGCCACGACAACGGCTTCCGCCTGATACTTCTTCACAATTTATTCAAAATTGCGCTGTCACGTAGGACTTTATTATAATGTCTGCAGGAGTCGCGCTCTCGCGTGGGACTTCCTGTCAGTTGATTGAGACGCCGAGCCCTCGACACTCAGAAATTACGCTCTCGCTGTGAATTTTCGTACGATTCACTCGGGAATCGAGCTATCGCCGAAATTTTCTTGCGATCCATGCATGACTGACGCTTCAGCGACCCGCCCGCTCGACTCTGCCGTCTGGGCCCGCCCGATTCGCCCCGCCCGAACCGCCCGTGTGGTTCTGCCGCTTGTTTTCCTGTTCCTAACCGCCCTCCTGCTCACCTCTGGCGTGCTCCACCCTTTTCTTTCCCCCTTGTCCCTTCCCTCCTCCCTTCCCTGTTTCAGGGGCTGCGCCAACTAAGTATACTTGGCGGGTGAGGGAGATATACCCCCAAGTGGAGTACGATCGAAGACGAAGTGGGCGGGCACCGAGGGTTTGGGATAGACATGTTGGGTGACACGCGAAGGTCAACAATTTCTGTTGTTGTTGTTGCTGTTGAATTCTCGTTACTGAAGGATAATTATTGTTGGTCCCCCCTCCAGTGACCATGGTATTTTTTCAATCGAAGTGCTTCCCCTGGGGCTCGCACCCTGTTTTTTATCAGGGAAGGTCACGGGGCTCAATATGTGTCGTTGGCCCCCAACAACCGTTCCCGCATGATTCTTCCTCACAATTTATTCCCCCATCGCGCTCTCTCGCGGGATGTCCTCACAATTTGTATACGAATCGTGCTCTCGCGTGGGACCTCCTCGCAGTTTGTTCAGACGATGCGCCCTCGGCGCTCAGGAACAACGCTCTCGCTCTGACTTTTCTCACGATTTACTTGGGAATCGCGCTATCGCTCGAGCATTCCTCGCGATTCATGCAGGACCCACGCTTCAGCAACCCGCCTGCTCGACCTGGCCGCCTGGGCCCGCCTTCCCGACTTGCCCGCTATGGGTCTGCCCACCCGATCTGGCCGTCTGGTTCTACCACTTGTTTTCTGCTCCTTGCCCCCTCGTGCTACTCTCTCTCGTGTTCCATTCTTCTCCCTCCACGTTCCACCCATTTTCTCTTCCCTTGTTTTAGGGGCTGCACTAAATGCACGTGGCAGGTAAGGAAGATATGCCCCCAAGGGGGTACGATCGAAGACGACGAGGGCGGGTACCGAGGGTTTGGGATACACGTATGGATTGGCATGTGAGCAGATAGGAGCGAACAGTCTTAAAATGATTGTTGTTGAGGAGGTTATTTTGGCTATGGTGGATGTTGTTGTTGTTGTTGTTGAACATGATTTATTCTAAAGAATAATTATTGTTGGGCCCCCTGGTGCGCGCCCCCCCTGCGCCGCCTAGGCCGCAGCTACATTTTCATCATTTTCGTGAGGAAGCCTCAGAAAAGAGGGTGTGTACAGGATCCGGTTGTTTTGTTGTAATCCGCTTTCCCTTGCAAAAAACAATAGAAAATGACATTTCTTGTTCTAATATAATCAAATTTCAAGAATCCCTTGCAAAAAATAAGGTAAAGTGGACATTCGCGCGCGCAAGACGAAATCCTTCCAAAACCTTAGTGTTCGCAGCGATTTTAACATAAAAACATCAAAAAACCAATGGTTTTTCAACAAAAAATTGTCAAAATCTCATCCCGCGCGCTCTTGCGGATTCGTAGGAAACCCAACACTTTTTAAACATTTCTGTCAAACGGGCTTTTGCGAGCAACTTTTTCGAACTTCTGCAACAACGGTTGCGCACCTGCCAGGGCCATCATCCCTGTCAAATAATACCATGCGGGACACATTCGTTTTTTCTTCGCGCGCGCACGCCGTCGTCGTCGGCCGCGGGGCCCTGAATAGTAGCCACGGTCGTCCGCATGCCACGAAGTGAAGTGTCCGAACGTCATAGGGCGGGAAGCTGGGTGTGGGTGGTGGCGAAGAGTCGTTTGGAAATTTGGTAGAGCTTGAACCGGCCCCCCCACAAAGTGGGGGTATTGCCCGCCTCCTATGAAAACCCTGGCACTGGTGAGAACGGTGTGTCCCCACGTGCTAGTAATTGTTGTTGTTGTTGTGGTTGTTGTCGTCGTCGTCGTCGTCGTCGTCGTCGAACTCTCATTTCTATAGTAATGATTAATGACCACCCCAGTGCCCATTGTGCTTTTTCGATTGAAGTGCTCCTTCCGGGGCTCGCACATAGTTTCTTACAAAGGAAAGTCTTGGGGTCTCAGATTTTCTTGTTGGCCCCCGGTTCACAAAAACTGCGGCTCCTGCCTGATACTTCTTCACAATGTTTTCCAACACCGCACTCTCGCGCGGGACTTCCTCACAATTTCAACTCAGGAATCGCGCTCTCGCGTGGTACGTGATGCATTTTGTTCAGACGCTGCGCCCTCGACACTCAGGAATCACGATCTCGCTCTGGCCTTCCCCGCGATTTACTTGGGAATCGCGCTGTCACTCGAGACTTCCTCGCGATTCATGCAGGACTCAATTTTTAACCACCCGCCCGCTCGACCTGGCCGCCTGGGCCTGCCTTCCCGACCCGCCGGTTAGGCTCTGCCCGCCCGATCTGCCTGTCTGGTTCTGCCACGTGTTTTCTACTCTTAGCCCCCTCCTGCTAATCTCTCTCGTGCTCCATCCTTCTCGCTCCCCCTTCCATCCGTCTTCTCTCCCCCTGTTTTGGGGGCTGCGCCAACTACACGTGGCAAGTAAGCACGAGGGTACGATCTAAGATGAGGCGAGCAGGTACCGAAGGTTCGGGATATACGTGTTCAATGGCACGCGAGCAGATAAGAACGAACAGCCTTAACATGATTGTTGCTGTTGGTGGTGTTGTTGTCGTCGTTGTTGTTGTAGTTGTTGTTGTAGTTGTTGTTGTTATTGTTGTTAGTGTTAATTTTGTTGCTGCTGCTGCTGCTGTTGTTGTTGTTGAACATTATTTATTCTAAAGAATAATTATTGTTGGGCCCCCTGGTGCGCGCCCCCCCTGCGCCGCCTAGGCCGCAGCTACATTTTCATCATTTTCGTGAGGAAGCCTCAGAAAAGAGGGTGTGTACAGGATCCGGTTGTTTTGTTGTAATCCGCTTTCCCTTGCAAAAAACAATAGAAAATGACATTTCTTGTTCTAATATAATCAAATTTCAAGAATCCCTTGCAAAAAATAAGGTAAAGTGGACATTCGCGCGCGCAAGACGAAATCCTTCCAAAACCTTAGTGTTCGCAGCGATTTTAACATAAAAACATCAAAAAACCAATGGTTTTTCAACAAAAAATGTCAAAATCTCATCCCGCGCGCTCTTGCGGATTCGTAGGAAACCCAACACTTTTTAAACATTTCTGTCAAACGGGCTTTTGCGAGCAACTTTTTCGAACTTCTGCGACAACGGTTGCGCACCTGCCAGGGCCATCATCCCTGTCAAATAATACCATGCGGGACACATTCGTTTTTTCTTCGCGCGCGCACGCCGTCGTCGTCGGCCGCGGGGCCCTGAATAGTAGCCACGGTCGTCCGCATGCCACGAAGTGAAGTGTCCGAACGTCATAGGGCGGGAAGCTGGGTGTGGGTGGTGGCGAAGAGTCGTTTGGAAATTTGGTAGAGCTTGAACCGGCCCCCCCACAAAGTGGGGGTATTGCCCGCCTCCTATGAAAACCCTGGCACTGGTGAGAACGGAGTGTCCCCACGTGCTAGTAATTGTTGTTGTTGTTGTTGTTGTTGTTGTTGTTGTTGTTGTTGTTGTTGTTGTTGTTGTGTTTTCTTGTTGTTGCTGTTGTTGTTGCTGCTGTCGCTGCTGTTGCTGCTGCTGTTGCTGTTGTCCTTGGTTGTTGTTGTTGCTGGTGTTGTCGTTGTTTGTGTCGCTATCGTTGTTGTTGTTGTTGTTGTTGCTGTTGTTGTTGTTGTTGTTGTTGTTGTAGTTGTTGTTGTTGTTGTTGTTTTTTTTTTTTTTTTTTTTTTTTTTTTGTTTGTTGTTGTTGTTGTTGTCTTAATCGACCTCGATTACTCCGTGTATCCGATACACGGAGTAATCGAGGTCGATTATTCCGTGTATGCCGGCGCCAGGAGGCGTCGTCGGTTTGTTGTTGTTGTTGTTGCTGTTGTTGTTGTTGTAGTTGTTGTTGTTGTTGTTGTTGTTGTTGTTGTGTTATTGTTGTTGTTGTTGTTGCTGCTGTTGCTGCTGCTGCTGCTGCTGCTGCTGTTGTTGTTGTTGTTGTTGTTGTTGTTGTTGTTGTTGATTGTCTTCGGCCGTCCATGGCCCTTGCCGGGCTCTGGGGCCGTCAGAACAGGCTCGGGATGGAGACCTGGGCCCCAGGGAGGGGTCCAGAGCTCTGGGGAGCCGCGTGAGCGACGGACGAAAAAGGGGTCGTCTTCACCGACATTGGCGCGTACGCTGCCCGTGCGAGGTCGCGCGTGAGCGCCGTCGTCTCCGATGTACTGTGCCGCGCTGGCGGCCCGCGTAAGCCACCACGTAAGGTCGCCATGTCTTCTCGTGTGAGACCCGGTTTTTCTCGTCGCTTACGTTAGGAGAACATGCGAGTTCGGAGGTCTGTGGCTCCCTGCCCTTCAGGCTGCGCGTTCTCCACCAAGGTGCGGGTGGCCGCCGAGAAGGGCGCTCACGCGGTGGTCATCATCGACAAGCCGGACTCCCCATACACGAGGCTTCTTGCTGGATGCGCCCTGCCATCTTGCTTGCCCCCTCCCTCCGCCTCCCTTCTCTCATGGCGCCAACTTCGCAGAGCGGATTTCGTTTGGAAACTATGGGATGGGCCCGGATTGTCCTGGATAATTTCGTTTCGGATTTCGATGTGAATTTCGTGTGGATTTCTCTTGGCCAGGAATGAAGAGTTACGAAACACCGACGTGAAATTCACTCCGTTTTTCGCTCGAGGTTTCGGAGTTTTGTATGGACAGAAATCCACGCGAAAATCCGCTGCAGCACGTCTGCCAGGTCGGTGCAGTGACTTCTTCCTCCGCCCTGCCTCAGGGGGGATGGTTGGGGCCGCGGTGGTTGTTTTGGCCGCTGGGCGGGGCGGGGTGCAACTGCTGCCAAGCTTGCTTCTGGGCCCAGAGCTCCAGCACACTCGTGGCCCAAAGGGCTCCAGACGGCGCTGCGGAGCTTGACGCTTCCTCCCTCCGCGTCGATCCGATCCTCCCTACCCCCCCTCCCTCCTCCCCCCCTGCCCCCCCTCCCTCCCCCCTTTCTCCCCCCTCCTCCCCCCTCCCCCCTCCTCCCTCCTTCCCCTCCCCTGCCCCCCCACCTCCTCCTCCCCCCTTTCTCATCCCTCTTCCCTCCTGCGCGCAGCGGTCGTTGTGCAGGCGGCCTCGCTGGCAGCTTGATTGCGGAGCCTTGAGTAGGGGGTCGATTGCAGAATCGATGAGTTGAATTTCCCGTCGAATCTACAAACCAAAACGTAGAATGGTCCGTAGATCAACGGAGCAAGAATCCACGTATTTTTCGTAGGCTCGACGAACAAACAATTCTGGGGTACATCAATTCTGCAGTCGATCGCTCATTCGAAGCCTGGGGCTGATGGACCCTGTCCTGTCGCTGCCATCTCCAGACCCCGCTGCTCGGCTCCATCGTCGTCCGTCCAACGCTCATTCCCCATCGCCACTCCTCCTCGCCGCCTGCTCCTGAGACTGCCGTTGCCAGGGGCATGGCATTCGCCGAGCAGTGGCAGGCCTGCTCACCGCCTCTGCGGGCGACCGCTCCGAGCCGCTCCCCATCCCCCCCCCCGCCCACCAGCCAGTACAGCGTTTCGAAGCCCCATAGGGGGCTCCACCGAAGGTCCCAGTGGCACCGCCCGCATGCGTTCGCAACCACCCAGCACAGCCGTTGCTTCTTGTGTTTCACCCACCCAGTACAGCGTTGCGTGGCCCCATAAGGGGGCTCCACGGAAGGTCACTGTGGCACCGCCCGCATGCGTCCGCCACCACCCATCACAGCCCTTGCTCCCTGCGTTTCACTTACCCGATACAGCGTTTCGTGGCCCCATAAAAGGGGGCTCCATGGAAGGTCCCAGTGGCACCGCCCGCATGCGTCCGCCACCACCCAGTACAGCCATTGCTCCCTTCGTTTCACCCACCCAGTACAGCGTTTCGTGGCCCCACAGGGGGCTCCACCGAAGGTCCCAGGGGCACCGCCCGCATGCGTCCGCCACCACCCACCCACCCGGTACAGGGTCTCGTGGCCCCATAGAGGGCTCCACCGAAGGTCCCAGTGGCACCGCCCGCATACGTCCGCCACCACCCAGCACAGCCCTTGCACCGTGCACCCACCCAGTACTGCGTTTCGTCATATGCTCCCTGCGTTTCGCCCACCCAGTACAGCGTTCCGTGACCCCATACCGAAGAAGATATTCACAATTGTGGTATTCACAATTGCATATGGTTGGGAATTTCGCCATGCTATTTTCTTCCGACGACCCTCCGGCGATTTGTGGAAGGTCGGTGGCCCCCTCACCAAACGGAAGGTGAGGGAAGAGGTAAGTTTTGGGGCAGCTCTCGTCGTATTCCCCCCTCGCGCCCTGAGTTGTGCAGCTCTCTCTCTCTCTCTCTCGCTCTTTCTTTCTCCCCACATCCAAAGTGGGGTTCTTGTTTTCTCTGCACACCCCGCGCAGGAACACTCACCCCACCCCCTCTCCTCTTCTGCCTTCGCACACTCACTCACTCACTCATCATCGTCACCACTCACTCACACTCACACTTACTCACACTCTCTCATCATCAACATCAGCATCATCACTCGCGCTCTCTCACACGCTCAGTCACTCACATACTCATCATCATCATCATCATCATCATCATCATCATCATCATCATCATCATCACTCGCACTCTGTCACACGCTCACTCATTCACATACTCACCTGGAGGAAGTCTCAAGCGGGAGTTCGTCTGTGAGTGAATTGTGAGGAAGTCTCAGGCGGGAGCCCCCTCCCTATGGGGCCCGCAGATCATGTTGGTAATCCGAGCGGGTCATCCAAACCCTGTAGCTGTCGTCACTTTTGGGCTCCTCAGGCCTGAATTTGGAGGAAGTCTCTGGCGGGAGCCTCGTCTGTGAGTGAATTGTGAGGGAGTCTCAGGCGGGAACCCCTCCCTATGGGGCCCGCAGATCATGTTGGTAATCCGAGCGGGTCATCCAAACCCTGTAACTGTCGTCACTTTTGGGTTCCTCAAGCTTGAGTGCGGAGGAAGTCTCAGGCGGGAGCCTCGTCTGTGAGTGAATTGCGAGGAAGTCACAGGCGGGAACCCCTCCCTATGGGGCCCGCGCTTCATCATTGTGCATGCCCGGAGCCAACTGTAGGCCACTTCGTGTTCTTCGTGTTCCCAGAACACCATTCCCGGGCCACCTTTTGAAACCCCGGAGCCACTTGTAGGCCACTTTGTGTTCTTCCTGTTCCCAGAACACCATTCCCGGGCCACATTCTGGATGTCCGGAGCCAACTGTAGGCCACTTTGTGTTCGTCGTGTTCCCAGAGCGTCATTCCCAGGCCACATTTGTGAATTTCGAATCCGAGGAGGGTCCTCGGAATTCGTATGCCTGTCGTCACTTTTGGGTCCCCGCGGCCTGAATATGGCTGTCATGGGCCTGCTTGCTCCAAAGGGCGACTGAGGAGCTGACGACGACGACGACGAGACAGCGGCCGGGCGCAGGGGTAACCTCTTGTGTCCGGGCCGAGGGTGGTGACCCATCCTCGGCCGAATCGGGGGCAGGGGTAACCTCTTGTCTCCGGGTCGCCGGTGGCGACCCATCGGCGGCCGAATCGGGCGCAGGGGTAGCCCCTTGCGTCCGGGCTGGGGGTGGTAACCCATCCTCGGCCGAATCGGGGGCAGGGGTAACCCCTTGTCTCCGGGCCGACGGCGCTGCCAGAGCTGGGCTTCGTGCTGCCCGCCTGAGCGCGGCTGCGCCCCGCTCGAAGCCCGCGGGGTTGTCCCAACGGCTTGGTCTTGCGCGCAAGCGGCTCGCGGGGTTGTCCCGACAGCCTGGCCCGCGGGGTTGTCCCAACGGCTGCGCGACGTGGCCATTAGAGAACGCGCCAGTGCTGGCCGAGGCGGCGACGGCGCCGAGGAAAACCGACATGCGCGCTCGTGCAATGGAAAGGCGAGGCGGTGGCGGAGCGCGAAAAAAACAGGAGGGCGAGGTCGGGGGCAACGTAGGGAGCGGGGGGAGGGCCCGCGCCAGGGCGAGAAGAAATATACCCAGAAGAATTAGTCAGGACGCCTCACCAACCACGAGGACGACGGTGAGCGCTTTTTCCAGATTCGCCCAGAGGATTCTCATGTGGGGTCCTTCCGTCGGAGTAATTCTTTTTTTTCTCCCCACCCTCTCTCACGACTGTGAAGCAATCCCACAGCAGCCGCCGCACAGCCAGGGCTCAGGGCCCCGCCTTGCAGCCGCTTTCGTTTTGGCAGTCTTCTCGCACGCGCTGGTCTGGGTTTTAGCTGATGATGTGCATCCACGTGCCAGCGCGGTCGCCCAAGGCAACGACTTGTACTAGCTTTCCCACCACCTGATTCGAATCCTACGGCCCACGAACTTCGTCTTTTTGCGGGTGTTAACGGCCTTCCTGGCCTTCCCGCTGGAGAAGGAATGCACGGGCCCGTGCCCCAGTGACCTGCTGTAGTCTGTGCCGTCCTCGGTGTGGACTTTGCATTGCTGCACGGTGCCCGCCTGTCTCATATGGTCTTTGAGGATGAGCCAATCCACGTCGTAATCGAGGTTACCTACGTAGACCGACTGGCCCTCGCTCTCCTCGACCTTGTCGTGACCCTCGTGCTGCCCAGCCCCTGCCGTCCCCTCTCTCGTAGAGTCACTCCTGCCACTGCCGTCCTTTCGCACAGCCGAGCTGCTACTGCCGTCCTTTCTCGCGCAGAGCTTCGGCTGCCACTGCCGCATTTCTCGCGCGATGCCTGAGCTGCCACTGCCGTCCCTTATCGCACAGCCGTTGCCTCTGGTTCCCGCTACTGCCGCCGCCACCGTGGCCACGTGGTGCTGCGGCTTCTTCAGGCAGCTGCCGCGGGGGGTGGCAGCGGGCATGGTGCTTGGGGGCGGCGTCCACTGTGATTTGTTTGTGGCCATGTGCTAGTAGTAGTAGTAGTAGTAGTAGTAGTAGTAGTAGTAGTAGTAGTAGTAGTAGTAGTAGTAGTAGTAGTAGTAGTAATAGTAGTAGTAGTAGTAATAGTAGTAGTACTAGAAGAAGAAGAAGTAGTAGTAGTAGTACTAGTACTAGTACTAGTAGTAGTAGTAGTAGTAGTAGTAGTAGTAGTAGTAGTAGTAGTAGTAGTAGTAGTAGTAGAAGTAGTAGGTAGTAGCAGCAGTAGTAGTAGTAGTAGTAGTAGTAGTAGTAGTAGTAGTAGTGTAGTAGTAGTAGTAGTAGTCGTCGTCGTCGTCGTCGTCGTCGTCGTAGTAGTAGTAGTAGTAGTAGTAGTAGTAGTAGTAATAGTAGTAGTAGTCGTAGTAGTAGTCGTAGTAGTAGTAGTAGTAGTAGTAGTAGTAGTAATAGTAGTAGTAGTCGTAGTCGTAGTAGTAGTAGTAGTAGTAGTAGTAGTAGTAGTAGTAGTAGTAGTAGTAGTAGTAGTCGTTGGCGATGTGGTCAGGAGAGCTGGACCAGCCTGCCGAGAGACCTTCTTTTCGTTGTCGTCGGCTGACGTTTTCTGCGTGACTTTGTGGTCGTAGTTTGGCCGTTCGTGTCCATAGCGCGAGCGTATCCTTTTGGGAGGTCGGGCGTGGCCAGCGCTCCGCCCGTTGCTGCCGCAGCCGGCTCTTCGCGCGCGCTCTGGTTTCTGGTTGTAGCTGATGGCGTCCCTTCTCGCACTGTGCACGGGCTGCCACTGTCTGAGCTGCAACTGCCTTCCTCGCCCCATCCTTCGCAGCTGACGACATCGGGCTTGTGCTTTGCAAGATCACCAGCATAGCTGCTGGCGTCGGGCTCGTACTTGACGACACTGGCACCCTCGTAGTTGGTGATGTTTGGTTTTCGCTTCTCTGCTAGCCCATGAGCTGCCGCTGCCGCCCATCCTCGCACGGTACCCTGGCCGCCATGTCCACTGCTTCCTTCTCGCAGTCCGCTTTCTCGCACGGTGCCCAAGCAGCTTCTGCCGCCTTGCTCGCACTGTCTTCCGGCTGCAGCTGTCGATTTTCTCTCGTTGTGCCCGAGCTGCCATTACTGCTGCTCTCACACCGTGAGGAGGGTACCGCTACCGCACCTTCTCCCACAGCGCTGGCGCCGCCCTTGCCCTGTTAGTCGATGACCTGAGGCTGGTGACCCTCGTGGCTAGTGGCGCCAGACATTTGCAGGGCGATACTACCGTCGTACAGTGGAGGCCCATGCCAAGAAGAACCCTTCTTGCATCAGGGTGCCTCGGTTCCTTTGGTTTCGATGGTTTTGCTGTGGAACGCGCGACGTTCCCGCACCAAAAATCAATGGACGTCCTGGGGTCTCAGGGTTAGGTTTCTTGTGGAAGGTTTGTTGTGGACTGACCTCCAGTGTAGATGACGACATTGGACTCGTACCACCCTAGCGCCACACTCATCGTTGCTGGAGTCGAGGTCGTGCTTTGCGTTGCCGCCCGCGTAGGCCACGGCGTCGGGCTCATGTTTCGCGCCCCTTTCTTTGTAGTTGATGGCGTCGGGTTTGTGCTTCGCCATACCACCGTCGTAGTTGCTGGCGACGGGCTAGCGCTTCGCAGCGCCCCCCTCGAAGCGCCCCCATTGACTGCCATCGCTGCCACTGCCTTCAATTGCCGCCACTGCCGTTCCATTGTTAGAGCGCCACTGCGTCGCTGCAGCTGGTGACGTGGCGGCAGCCTCCTCGCAGCTACTCGCCGGTTCTTTCTCCCAAGCCTCTCGAGTCAGTACTTCTTCATCCCAAGCCCCTTGATGTCACTCTTATTTAGGCCCGGGCTGCCACTGCCCGCTGGCTTTAGCCAAGCCTACATGACCAGCCGGGATGCTATCACCACATAAGCCCGTGTAGTTTTTTTTCCCAACCATCCCGTGGTGTTAGGTCCTCGTTTTGAAGAGACGGCGCCCCGCGATCTCCTCCCACCTCCTTCCACCTCCCCCTCCTCCCTCCTCCCCCCTCCCTGCGTTTCACCCACCCAGTACAGCGTTTCGTGGCCCCATAGTTTGCTCCACCGACGGTCCCAGTGCTACCGCCCGCATGCGTCCCCCCCACACAGCACAGCGTTTCGTTACCCCAAAGGGAGCTCCACCGAAGGTCCCAGTGCTACCGCCCGCATGCGTCCCCCCGGCCCAGTACCGATTTTCATGGCCCCATACGGAGCTCCACCGAAGGCCCCAGTGCTACCGCCCGCATGCGTCCCCCCCACCCAGTACAGCGTTTCGTGGCCCCATAACTAGGGGGCTCCTCTGGCAGCACCAGTGCTACCGCCCGCATGCGTCCCCCCCACCCAGTACAGCGTTTCGTGGCCCCATAACTAGGGGGCTCCACCGACGGCCCCAGTGCTACCGCCCGCATGTGTCCCCCCCACCCAGTACCGCGCTTCGTGGCCCATACAGAACTCCACCGAAGGCCCCAGTGCTACCGCCCGCATGCGTCCCCCCTACCCAGTACAGCGTTTCGTGGGCCCATACGGAGCTCCACCGACGGTCAGTGCTACCGCCCGCATGCTTCCCCCCACCCTGCACAGCGTCTCGTGGGCCCCCCAGGAAGCTCCACCGACGGCCCGAGTGCTACCGCCCGCATGCGTCCCATCCACCCAGTACAGCGTTTCGTGGCCCCGTAGGGAACTCCACCGAAGGTCCCAGTGCTACTGCCCGCATGCGCCCCCCCCCCCACCTAGTACAGCGCTTCGTGGCCCCATACGGAGCTCCATCTAACGCCCGCATGCGTCCCCCCCACCCAGTACAGCGCTTCGTGGCCCCATAGGGAGCTCCACCGAAGGCCCCAGTGCTACCGTCCGCATGCGTCCCCCCCACCCAGTGCAGCGTTTCGTGGCCAGAAAAGAGCTCCACCGACGGCCCCAGTGCTACCGCCCGCATGCGTCCCCCCCACCCAGTACAGCGCTTCGTGGCCCCAAACGGAGCTCCACCGGCGGCACCAGTGCTACCGCCCGCATGCATTACCCCCCACCCAGTGCAGCGCCTCGTGGCCCCATAGGGAGCTCCACCGAAGAAGATATTCACAATTGCAGTACTCACAGCTGCATATGGTTGGGTCCGTCGCCGGGATAATTCTAGTCAATGTTCCAATTATTGTGTTGCATTTGGGCCTCCTGAACTCCAGGGATGCTCTGGGCTGCTCGCACACCTTGGTTTGGTGAAGGTGACAATGTCTGGGATGGCCCGTCGCCATTGTTCTGCTGCCACTGGACTCTGTTTTCGCACGCATCAGTCTCTGCGTAACTGGCCATGATCTGGGGCACAAGCTCCTTAGCATTTGCGCGCAACTCCTTGTGCGGCCTCTGCACTGCTTTCTGTCACTGAATCCCCTTCTCTGTCACAGCTGCTCCTGTGAGGATCCTGTCATGCACTCTGGCCGGCCTTCGCTCTCTCGCTGCATATGCCCGTCTTCGCACCGCGGCGCGGCAACTCGAGGGGTGACCCCTCCTCTTGGCCCATGCTCTTGATGAATCTGCGAAGCAGAGGAGATGCAAGAGCATCAGAACAACGCCCTCTGTCCGCGAGCTCCTGGCCGCGGGCGGGGGGCCGTGGCCGGCTCGCGGGCCCGCGCGCAGCGTGGCCCGTCTGGGGCCAACATTGCCCTTGAGCCACTCTGACTACGGAGTCGTGCAGCTCCTCCGTCTTCCGACGACGACGACGACGCCGACGCCGACGACGACGACGACGACACGACAGCGGCGGCGCCGACAGCGAAGACAACAACGAGGACGAGGACGTGCCGACGACGACGACGCCGACGCCGACGCCGACGCCGACGCCGACGCCGACTCGGGACCCACTCCTTCTCCCGAGGGCCCCCCCCCTCGAGCGAGATCAGGCGCCAGATGAACGACGTGATCGTGGCAGAGGACGCCTACGTCGAGGACATCCACATCCCCTCCATCTTCATCTGCAAGGACTCGGATCAGAAGCAGCGGCATAAACTTTGGTGGGAGTTCCACGCGGACTTTTTGGATCTGTCTTGGACCCTCCTGGCGGCGCCTCTGGCGCCGCCCCTGGCGCGCTCCGCGTGCCGGGGAGGGGAGTCCAGCGCGGATCCAAGAAATCCGCGCGGACAGTTGACAGTTGTTATATCTATTCTCTCACTCTCTCTCTTTCTCGGATACTCGCTCGGGATGCGACGAGGACGGCTACGGGGATCGTGAGAGATAACGCAGAGGCACTGCATGACGGGAGCATGCCGATCTCAGATCTTCATCGATAGCAGCCTGCTTGCGGATGGCAACCGTGCCCCGATCCGAACTCGAGGGTCGTGGGCCGAGGCTGGAGGGCTGAGGTTTTCGGGCGCTTCTGGGCCTGAAGGAGGCCTTCCGTCCTGGGGGGCCTCCAGGGACACCTGGGGGCCTCTGGAGACCTCCGGATCAGGGCGCTAGAGACTCGGGCCGAACGAAAGGGGGGGATTGGGAAAGGGGGGGGTACGAAATTTGCAGCATGCAGCTGGTTTCGGCCCCACCGAGGGGCCCATTCCTCGATACATAGCCGCCTCCGGCGCCGGGAGGCGCCGGGAAAATCAGCTGCGTGAGCTGATTCTCAAACCCCCCCTTTGCTATCCCCCCCTTTCGCCCGACCCGAGAGGCGGAGGCGCAGCAGACGGGGGCACGGGGACCGCCAGTTTCCCCGTTTGGCTATGCCCCCGTGAAGGGGCCCTGGGCGCCGCACACAGGGGGCAGAGTACACGGCCCGAAGCCCCTGTTTGGCTGAGCCCCCGCTTGCGAAGCCCCGACCGGAGAGGCCTCGGCCCGCCTTCCACCAATTTGGCCAGTGAGCGGCCGGCCGGAGGAGGAGGAGGAGGAGGAGGAGGAGGAGGAGGAGGAGGGGGAGGAGGAGGAGGAGGAGGAGGAGGAGGAGGAGGAGGAAGGGGATCTTTGCTCTCTGCCACAGTCGGACGGCAACCTGATTCTCGACGCATTCGCGAAGACTCAGGGCCCCATCGTTGTGGAACTCGCGTGGAACGTGCCCACGAAGACAGTGGCGATCCTGTTACAGAGCGAATATTGCCACAGTGCAGTAAGGAGGAGAGAGGACGGGAAAGCAGGTGAGGAGGCGAGAGGGGGAGAACTCGCGAGTGCAAGGGAAAGGAGGGTCAGGTGCGCTGGATGTATGGACTGAAAGGGGGATGAGAAAGCAGGAAGGGGAGGGAATGTGAAGAGGTTGGTGCAGTGCAGGGATATGAGAGAGACTGACCTGGAGGACGGGTGGCCGGACGGAGTGAAATGATGAAGCATGAAGATGGATGGCGGGGAGATGGGGAGGGATGAAGGAGGGAATTGACGGTTGAGGGGCCAGCAGGAAACGTACAATGCACAGACATGTGATGAGTGGGCGAGGTAATCCGACAAGTTCAGACCACTGGCAGAAGATGACACGCTCGAACATCGTTCAAAGCTTCGTGGAACAAGTCCAGCACACCACAGTACAAGTTACGCTTTCTATGGTTTCAATCATCCAGGTGCGCATGGATTCGAATTCTGGACGCTTCGCGTATCTCCATCAGCCTGCATTCAAGTCACTCGCAGCTTGCAGGCCCTGGCAGCCGACCACCCTGGCAGCCAGCCCATCGTTGCAGCGCATTGCATGCGTGCACCCTGGCAATGCAGCTTCCCAGCAGTTGCCGTCAGCCCCCTTCCACTCGCCGGCCTGGCCGCCGAGGTGCCGCGTGAGGCTTCGGCCCACCGCTTTAGACTCATTCGTCTTTGCGCGGCCCGCTCTGACTGGATTCGCCGCTGGCGCCCTCGCCTGCGGCCGCTGACTAAAAAAAGTATCTCCATCAGCCAATCCAGAAATGATCGCCTGGCGAGTTGTCATGGTCAGGTAAGTATAGGAGCGTCCAGTGGAAGAGACAGGTAAACAGCTGTCAAGCCCAAGCTAGTGGAATTGCTGAGCCCGCCGTCGAAGGGTGCGGAAGATACGGAGGAGAACGTGGAGAAGGAGGAATGGGAGGAGGGAGGAGAAACTATTTGAATTATTTGGCTCAGCGCGGGAGGCAGGGGAAACATTGGTGTTACCCAAGGCTTCGGCGTACCAACGCAGTTTGCAATTGCGCTGGCACGCCCTCCCGCCGCGGATACAACCCCTTATCTATGCGAGCGAGATCCTCTCTGGCCTTACTGGTGATGGGTTCGCACGCTGCCTCCAAGTGCCTGCTGTCAAGCGTGGCGTACCCTCCACAATTTGCACAGTGGGGCCGTACTTGTCCCAGACCTGGGGCTTGTGAGAAGAGTGCACAAAGCTGCCAGCAGCAACCCACCCTGTACCCCCAGCAGTGACCTCACGATCTGTGCGGAGGCCTTGGCAGGGCAACTTGGCAGCGCCCAGCATCCGTGACCCTGGGACTGCGATTGGGCAGCTCGCACCTGCACTTGCTGGCTGACCGCACGGATGAATGAGCGTCCAGTCCGACGCCGGGGCAAAGTCGCACCCATGTGGGCGACCCCTCGGTCTGGGCCGAGTCTCTGGCAGCGCCACGGAGCCTCTAAAAGATGTGTGTTGCGTTCGCCTGCTTGCCCGGCGAACGCCCAGCAACTCGACATGTTGGCGCCGCGTCAAGGAAAGGAGGCAAGCGCGCGCGCGCGAAGGCGGTTGGGTGTGGCCGTCTTTCCTTGGGCGGCCTCTCGCCGCTCCATGGGTCGGCTTCCGCAAGGAGCTGCAACGCCCGCCGAGCTTTCGCTCGGACGAGTAAGCCCACCGCGTCCCACCGATCAGTGCCCACCGATCCGACACGGCACGACTCCGACGCCTCCCCCGCTGCACGCCCCGCTCCTTTATTCGCCAGGGCGTTGCCGTGAATTAGGAAGGGGCCGGTGTCATTTTCAGTCTCCCTTTCCGCGTGGGAAGGGATTTACTTGATATCAACCTGATTTGAGTCACGCTCTCGCAGGATAGCCCTGTTGCGACTCCGAATGCCCTGATGAGGGCCTACGCACGAAAGGACACGCCGAGACAACCATGCGCGCAACAAAAGCTGAAGCTTGCTAACGAACAACGTCGGAATCTGGACACGCTCAAGTGTGATTGCAAAGACTGTCAGTACTGATCGTAGCACTGTCTGCCGCCTTCCTCCTAGGACAGTGCGAGCTCCCGCGGCCAGCTCTCACTCCCCCTTTGGCGTTCGACCTGAACGCGACGTCGGCAAGTCCAGACCCACGCGTGCACGCATCGGAACTGAAACACCCCAGAACCATCTCCAAACAGCACAAACCCTCCGTGCGCGGGATGAGGTTTGAGGGCTCCGAACGCCTTAGGCCCGTACACCACGACCTCTTCAACTGGGTCGCGGCTGGCTTCAGGGGGGTGGGTCCAACTAGTGGGGGGAAGACCTGGCAGCCACAGGGGGACGCTGTTGGCGCTGGCGGGGAGGGCCCAGAGGCCGACGAGAGCGAGGGTGCCGAGGGAGGGAGCGGCGGGCGTGTCGAAGAGGGCGAGTACGGCGCCGCCGTCAGGGACGCTGACATGACGCGCGCGCGCCCCGCCGTTCCGCTCCGTCGACTCGGGCCGTGCCCGGCCGCCCGCGTCCGCGGATTTAGGAACTCTGTTCCCAAACATGCACCCGTCGTGAAGCAATGAGAACGGGAGGTATTTCGTAGTTTTCGGCTTCTGGGGGCCCTCACCGGGCCCCGGGACCGTAACAAAAACGACGCAGGATGAAAATCCGGTCCGGGGGAAAGAGTGGGGACTTCTGCGGACCGCGTCTTGAGAAATCAGGACGTCGCGTGTGTGGGTCTCAGTCGCTCACTACCATCGGTGGGTTCTCCCTTTGCCGCCCGGCGGCGTCGGCTGCGGAGGAGCAGGATGGGGGTGGGATAAGGCTGATTCGTGGGCCACAGCGCCTAAAGAAGTCGGTTTTGTTTGTTCTGTCGATTGATGCCACGGCTCCTTAGTCTAAACCTGTCCAGCTGAAAGATGGGGAGAGCGGCTTTCGACCCTCAGCTCCGACTCCAAACCACGCCGCGTCATGCCAGCAGCCAGTCTTTTCCTTCCCCCCCTCTGGCGGCCAGTTTGGCGTGGACTGGTAGGGGGAGGTTTCCTTGAGCGGAGGTAGACCTTGTCCGATACCCCTCCGCTTCTCCCTCTCCTTATCGGCCTCTGCCATCGCTTTCTTCCGCGTGGCCGTCGACCACTGGATGAGCTTCCCTTCCAATTCGTTTCCTCCTTTCTTTTCTCCCCATACATGAGATGTCTTGATTTCTTCAGTGCGGCCCCCCAGAAGTTCCGCCCTTTTCCCCTGGACTGTTTTTCATCCTGTGTCGTCTTTTGACAGTCCTGGGGCTCAGTGAGGGCCCCTAAGACCCCGAGCGAGGAAACGCTTCGTCCTCCTCGTTTCACGACGCCAGCATGTGTGGGTCTCTCTCTCCCTCTCTCCCCTCCCCCCCTGCATGTGTCTTGAGGCCTCGGAGGGCCCTCCAGAGGCCCACGGAGAGCCGAGAACGCCCCACCCTCGATCCTCGACCCTTGAACCGGCACCTCGACCCTCGATCCTCGAACCAGCTCGGTTCCCGAGTCGGGTACGAGAGCCCCGTGCGTTCGATCATCGATCCGCGAACCTGGACCCTCCTGGCCTGCTCCCTCCCCTGGCCCTTCCCTCCCCAGCTTTTCAGCTCGCATGTTCTCCTGACGGCCTTGGGGCCCAGCAGGGTCTCCGGAGGCCAAACATTGCCGACCATAATCCGTCGTGTTCTTCCCTGGCGCGGGGAGGTCGGGGTTGCTATCCCCCCTTTCGTCCGCCCGAGTTCTCCAGGTGACCGTGGACCAGTGGATGAGCTCCGCTTCGTCCGAGAGCCTGAGGTTCCTGCAGAGCTTCGCGCCGAAGAGGAGGATCCTCAACCAGGCGAGGGCGGCTCACATTCCTCCTCGCCCCCCTGCCCCTTCCCCTCTCCCTCCCTCCCCCGTCTTCTCTCCCTCCTCTTCCTCTTGCTCCTCCTGCTCCCCCTTTGCCTCTACTCCTCCTTCACTACTCCTTTCTCCTCCTCCCCCCCTGTTCTGTCTTGGTCCCCCCCAACAGACCTCTCACGCCGCCTTTTTTTGTTTGTGTTTGTTTCTTTTTTGTTGTTGTTGTTGACAATGTGGCCCTTGCCGGGGACTGGCTTTTCATCACGAGTCATCTGTTGAGAGAAGCCGGGCCCCCCAGTTGCCAGAAATTGCCCAGCACCCTCCGTCGTGATGTTTCCGCGACGCGAGGAGGTCTGGTTTTCGGGTAGCAACTCGAGTCTTTGGCGGCCGTTCGGGACGGTCTGGGCGCCCCAGGACAGCCCTCGGCGAGGCGCGGCCACATGGACGCACCCCGAGGGTGGAAGCCACGTCGGCTGTCTGGGCCCTTACCTGGTCAGCAGGGGCAGCGTTAGGGGTTAGGGGGGGATCTGCCCCAGGGGGGATGCATCGACCCCCCGTCGCTCCTTCATCGCCGAGACGGGGCCCGACAGCCCGCCCCGCCAAGGAACGTGCGGTTTTGCTGCGTGGGGGCCCATCGCCGACCTGCTGGCGACGCATCGCCGATCCCAGCTCGAGGCTCCCCCCCCCCCCCCCCTGGAGCCAGTCCCCCCCCCCCGAACGTTCCCCCTCTCGGGCCACGCGGACTGTGCACACGCACCGATCCTGGCCGCGCCGATCTTTGGCCGAGGATCGGTGCAGGTGCCTCCCCGCCCCAGCCAGGAGGGCGCACGCACCGCTCCTCGGCTCGGGAGGGGCCCGGCGAGGATCGGCGCGTGTGCGCAGTGCTCTTCGGGGCCGCCTGCGATCCAACTCGATGCGATTCGATTTGCTGGCTCGGGCCGCGATTCCGACTCGATTCGATTCGGCTCAGTTTCGAGGAAACGTAAGACTCGAGTAAGCCGGAACTCGGGTTTGCCGACGTTTTTTGACGAGCGCGTAATGGATTTTGACGGTCCAGTTTTCGTGGGATGTTTGCAGCGGGAGCTCGCGTCAATTTTCAGGTCAGGTCTCGTCATTTTTTATGATGGCCCCGTCAAGCCAACCCGAGTCCCCCGTACCCGAGTTTTACGTCTCCCCGACAGTTCATTGGCATCGGCTGGGGCCAGCCGGAGACGGGCTCGGCGATTCGATTTCGATTCGCTTCGGGATGATTCGCCGGGGATGCGATCCGCTTCCGGTCCTCCCCGACTTCGCGCTTCGGCTTGGCTCAGTCGTGCTCTTCCTTCTGCCCTCGGGCCGCCCCTTGCGTAACAAGTCATGGGAGCCTTTTGTGCCCTCGTGGTTCTGTCATTAGAGCGCGTCAGCGTCGGCTAGCGTCGGATAGTCGAAGAGATGGTGCCGATTCAGCGTCGATTAGCGTCGGTTCGCGTCGATGAGCCCCTCTTCCTCCTACTTATGGTAGTGGCGGTGGAAAACAGGCCCGCCAGAGATGGTATGGGAGGCTCCCACTTGCTGCCACGGAAAGGCGGCCGCTGCCGCAGCCTCGTCGGGCTCCAAGCCAGCACGCATGGCCCGGGCCGCCGCCAGCCGCAGGCCGCGGGGCATGGCCCGGCCCCGTGGCCGCCCCGCCCGCCGGCGCGGCCTCCGAGGCGCGCCTGTGGCGTGGCCGCGCCGCCACTGCGGCGGCGACCCCGGCGGCGCCCGCGGCGCATGGCCGGTCGGGGCGGCCCCATCGCCGCGGATCGGGTCGGACGAGAGGTGCCCAAGACATGCTCGCGTCGTGAAGCGCTCAGGACGGCAGGTCTCTCGCCGTTCGGCCTCTGGGGACTTCTCGCCGGGCCCCAGGGCCGTCAGGAACTGCTCGGTATGCAAAACCAGTCCCAGGGAAATGGTTGGGACTTCTGGGGGCCGCGTATTGAACAAGATCAGGACATCGCATGTCTGGGGGCGGGGGGGACCTGAGATCAGGGCGTCGCAGTTGTTTCATGCATTTTTGCTTCTCTTTGGACCCATGAGCCTCGCGGTTCGATCTGGCTCGAGAAGTGGCGTTGGATGACCCAGGGCTCTGGCTGTGCTTTTTTCGCGATGTTGCATTTTTTTCCCAACGTCGGATCCCAGGAGAGGGAACGGGGGTGATTCAGGCCTCATGGGGCCTGAGTGGATGGGGCCGGAGGATCGCGCCGCATCGCCGATGCATCGGTGACGGATTGGCGATGCGGCGCGATCCTCCGACGCCCTCTGCACGGGCCCCATCTCCAGCTGAGGAGGTCCTGCTGCGTGCGGCGGGGCTTCGGTCCCGCCGCCGGGCGCCTCTCCTCGAGGCGGCCAGCCCGCGTGGTAAGGGTGAGCGGCTCTCCACGGGTTGTCCTTGCGTCCTCCTCCTTCGGCCCATCCTCGGCCGCTTCTCGCTGGCCGCGCCCCGCTCGCAGCGCAAGTATCGACGCGGCCTTCCGAGGCCCCCCTGGCATCCCTGCCGCGCGTCCCCCATCGTACTCGGAGGGCACCAACTATACACCAACACCGATCCTGGCCCAGGATCACCCTGGGCCCAGGATGGGTGTATATGCCTTCTTGCGCAAGGCAGGAGGGCGTATACACCGATCCTGGGCCCAGGGTGATCCTGGCCAGGATCGGTGTTGGTGTATAGTTGGTGCCTTCCTACGTACGGGTCGACTGTGCACGAGAGCCGCTGTCGCCCAGGAGGCGCTGGAGAGAGCAGCTGCCCGAGCCGATTCGCCAACCCGCCCATGGACCCCGCCCCCCTGTCGTCCGACCCGAGCGGAGGACCTCGACCTCCTGGCGTTGTCAAGAAGCATCGCTGGCTTTTGTCTTCTTGTTTTCTCCAGGGTTTCGAATTCTTGGGACTCTCGGGGCCGTCAGCATAACGACTCGGGAGGAAAGCCAGTCCCTGGTGAGGGGTCCAGACCTTTGGAGAGCCACGCCGTGAAACGAGTGTCGACGTCGGAGGTCTGGGAGGGGGTCCTGAGGGAAACGGCGCCTGGAGGCTTTTCGTACTTTTTTGGGTTCCCGAGGCTTTCCACGGGCCCTGGGGCCGTCCGAAGCGGCTCGGAGTCAAGGGCTGGTCCTGGGAGCCCCCCCGCTGTCCAGGACCCGTTTCAATCAGGATCCGTTTCATGCCAAGGTCCTTTTGGTTCCACTTCCAAGCAGCACCAACATGGGGGCTGGTCGAGGCGCTCGAAGAAGAGAAAGAAAAGTAATGCTAGTCGTATGAACAATACTGAGAACGTGGTTGCTCATACTAATATTAATAATAATACTAAGAATATCATGCACAACAGAATAATACACAAACGAATAATACGAATACTAAGACTACTGATAGTACATATATGGTCAATTGCAGTAGCGATAACAACCATACGCACAACAATATTACGAACCGTATGCACAATAATAACAACAATGATAATAATGACACTACTACTGTTCATAATAATGCTGGCACTAGCAACACGATTGCTGTGCCTAATGCTACTATCAATAATATTTGTACTGATACGAATTTCAAGAATTAGCATAAAGATAATCAGCGCAAGCATAGTTAGACTTTCGGAGGCCCGTGCTGAGATCGCTCGGATCGGCACTGGACCCCCCCTCCCTGGCGCGCGAAGCGCGCCAGGGGCGTCGCCAGAGGCATTGCCAGGGTCCCAGCGCCAATCCAAGAAATTCCCGCGCGGACCTCCGACAGCTTGTGTGTTGTGCAGTCTCTTGTTGCTCCAGGCGCACCCTGGGCTTCGCGATGCTGGGATGCGTGCTGGTGCTCTGGGTCGGCTCAACCGTGGCCGTCCAGGAGATCCTGGGGAGGCACGGCCGTACACCGCCACCGTCCCTGGCTGGGGCCGTCCTGGGCCCCCAGAGATGCGTGCAGACGCACACATCCGATGCCTCGAAGTCAGGGCGGCGGCTTTTTGCCGTCTTGCGGCCTCCACACCAGGCCACGAGACCGTCCAAAAACAAGTGAGGATGAACGACTGGCCCTGGGGGAAAGGGTGGGGAAAGCGTACGTCTGGATTGCAGAGATCGCCTCCCGCTTCAGAACCCCCCCTGAGGAGATTGCACTCTGGACAGTGCATTCTGCACCACAGTTGACGCAACGAGTTGATGATCCGAGCTGATGCACCCACTTGATGTGCCGAGTTGACGCATCGATGCGAGTTAACGAGCCGAGTTGGCGTACCGAGTTGACGTGCCGATCGTCGTTGACGCGGCGGGTCTTTACAGAGCTGACCCCACAGACAAACCCAAGTGTCGAGCCTTCCTGGGGCCCGGCCAGGGGCGATGGTGGTGGGTGTGCAGCTGCTGCTTCCGAGAGGAGATCCTGGGGGGCAGGGGCGACCAGTTCCAAAAGCCTTTGTTCATCCTGAAGAAGAAACATCGGCATAAGTATAAACCTTTGGAGGTCCGCGCGGGCTTCTAGGATCAGGGCTTGACCCGCTCCTGGGCGGCGCCTCCGGCGCCGCCAATGGCGCGCTCCGCGCGCCAGGAACGGGGGACCCATCGCCGATCCGATAAACCCGCGTGGATTTTCGAGAGCCGACGGTAGGTTTGTGCCGTGCCGATTCGGCGACGACCGCACCGCGGGCGCTCGAAGTGGGGCGCCGCCAGCGCTCACTCGTCCAACTTTGAGCTATCTGCGCTTCCAGGAGCCCCTGGGCTCGTTCAGAGTTGATTGGCCCCGGCGGTGTCAGAAGCCAACGCCCAAGTCGTCACGACACGAACCTGCCGTAGGCCCGTGTCGAGTTTTTCTCCTTCCACCATCACGCTCTTCAACAGCGTCTGCGGCGTGTCGCTGCTGGCTCCGGACGCGGCCCGCCTGCTGGGGCACCGGCTCGCGGGGAGGGCGTGCACAGCGCCGCGCTCTGCCGCGCGAGATTCGGCCAGCGGCGGGCGCGAGCGGTGGTCGGCTACACGAAATGGGTGGCCCTTCGCTCGAGCGGC